GGATGCTGGTCCGTTTACATTGTAAAAATCTAGAGTTGGATTTGTGCTAGATTTCCCCTTGAAAATGGAAAGTGGTGTAGAATCGGCCTTTTCACACTACTGTCAACATGTCGGACATTAACTCAAAAAAGCTTTAACCAATATGCATGAAACTTTGGTGAATTGTTCATATCTATTGATGTGAGCTCCCTTTCGTTTTTATAAATTTCAGATTTACTGTATCTGAGTTTTGGGGTTTTATTCATTAAAAAAGGGGTGATTTTCCAGTTTTCCGACAATAACTCAAGAATGCTTTCACCAACTTGCAAGAAATTTTGGTGAATTGTTTATATCTATTGACTTGAGCTCCCTTTTGATTTTTATTAGTTTTAGATTTTACGTTTCCGAGTTATAGGGTTTTATTCATAAAAAAGGGTGATTTTCCAGTTTTCGGACAATAACTAAAAAAATCCTTTCAGCAGTTCTCATGAAACTTTTGTGAATTATTTATAGCTATTGATGTAATCTCCCTATTGATTTTCATAAATTTCAAATATGACATTGAGAAGAAATTGAACTTTATTTGTTTATAGTCTGACAACAGATTTACTAAGTATTGCGCAACAGCACAGTGTATTGCACAACAGCAAGAAATCTTTAATTGAATATAAATTCAATTCATATAACCAATTTCAAGTTCTTTGACTACATTTATTCAGAAATCTATAATATGTCAAATATTTAATTACAATCCAAATTCAGACCTGTATCAAGCTTGAATATTGTGTCCATTTTTGCCCAAACTGTTCAGGGTTGGACCTCTGCGGGCGTATCCAGCTGGGCTCAGCGAAGCAGTTTATTATTTACTATTAGTCAATAAAATTTAAGGTAGAAAACTTCATCTGAGACAATTTATGGGATTGGGGTGAGTTTATGCAGTGTCGTGCTATCTGCCAAATACATGGAATGATTCAATGATATGACGGGTAAAATTCAAATAATTTCATAAAATCTTCAAGACGACAATTTTTTTTTTGTGGTAAACAACCTATGTTTTAATGTTTAATACCACAGAAACAACTTACTGTGCATTCAACTTAATGTACATACATTTTATTGGCTAGAGGTATAGGGGGAGGGTTGAGATCTCACAAAACATGTTTAACCCCGCCGCATTTTTGCGCCTGTCCCAAGCCAGGAGCCTCTGGCCTTTATTAGTCTTGTATGTTTTTTAATTTTAGTTCATTTATATGTTTTTGAATTTAGTGTGACGTCCATTTTCACTGAACTAGTACACAATTTTATTTAGGGGCCAGCTGAGGACCACCTCCGGGAGCGGGATTTTCTCGCTTCTGAATACCCATCGGTGGCCTTCGGCTGTTGTCTGCTCTTTGGTCGGGTTGTTGTCTCTTTGACATATTCCCCATTTCCATTCTCAATTTTATTCATACCAATTCAGACCTTTTTTTATAAGAATGCATATTGTAAGGGTGGGAAAAGCTAAAAATAGCACAATTTCATGTTTAAGGCTCTAATTTTGTAATATGTGACTTTTTTGCCAAAAAAAAAAGTTGAAATGTGACTACTTGCGACTTATATTGCAACGTTCACAGCTCAGTTTAAACTGACTGTAATGTATGACTTTAAATAGAAAATACTAAAAAAATTAATTTCAGACTACAGGAACATACACCTTCAATATCAAGATCACTTTTGTTTGATTTTGCCTTGTTTATCCTACTGCTCTAAAGACTTTCCAAAATTTATACAATGAATTTAGTAAAAAAATCAAAGATATTGAAGTGACAAGGAATATTGAACCCCCCCCCTTATTTCATCAGGTGTCAGTAATGGACTATTAATTGATCAATAATGCAATTATGGTCATGAAACAATTTTTATTTACTATTAGTCAATAAAATTTAAGGTAGAAAACTTCATCTGAGACAATTTATGGGATTGGAGTGAGTTTATGCAGTGTTGTGCTATCTGCCAAATACATGGAATGACGCAAAGATATAACGGGTGAAATTCAAATAATTTCATAAAATCTTCATGACGACAATTTTTTTTTTGGTGATAAACAACCTATGTTTTAATGTTTAATACCACAGAAACAACTTACTGTGCATTCATACCAATTTCAGACCTTTTTTTATAAGAATGCATTTTGTAAGAGTGGGAAAAGCTAAAGTTAGTACAATTTCATGTTTAAGGATCTAATTTTGCAATATGTGCAAAAAAAAGGTTGAAATGTGACTACTTGCATTTCAAATGATCAGTTAAGACAAAAATAATCAATTGTTTTCTGATTTTTTGGTTTGAATTGTACATGTATCACCTTTCTACATGTCAATTTTCAACCCATGTTTAAAGCCTTTCGGAAGACAAGTACTACTAAAATAACTCCTGGTTTTCTGGAAATCTTAAATTAGTATACTATTGAGCGCATTAATCCTCAAGTTTTAATGCAAACTCATAGACAAGTACATTTTGGCTCAAAATAGTCTAAATATATTTCTCTTTCACCAAAAGTTTTATTTCTGCAAAGAAGTAGGTCCACTAAGACCCCTTTTTGGCCCTTAAATATAGCAGTTTTACAAAATTGTTAAAATGTTAACTTTTAGCTACTTATTGGAAAGAAGAATACTTCTGTTACATAAATATGGGCTGTTTTTGACAATACAATGCACATGTATCGGGTACTAGCATCGATAAGTCATGCTTAATTACTGAAATCTTCACAATTTGGGCATTTGAGTGAATTTTTAGACTGTTTTCGTCTTAAATGGAAGTGGCCGCATTTGTGTTCATTCTTAATATTTAAATGTAAGTTGTATTTGATGATAATACATAACATATATAAAGATTGAGGATGAACACGGATGCGGTCACTTTCATTTTTGACAAAAACCATCTGAAAAGGGACATATTATGGCATATTTGATAGAATTTTAATATTTAAGCTTGAATTTGAGCGTCTTTAATGACTAAATCAGTCCAAATCTTTCACATAAACTAATTGAATCTAATAAAGTAGACACTTAAGTGTTTAAAAAGTGTCCAAAATCTTTTATCAGATAAACTTGAAGTTTGAGGCCAAAATCGGCCCTTACCGGACCTACTCCTTTGTTGGTTAGTTTAAGTAAACAATGACATCAAAAGCACTATTTTGTGTCAGAGTAGGGCTACTTTTACATACGTTCTAAATAGGAGGGAGTGAATTGGTGGTCTGGGCCCGTATGCATAAAGCTACTTAAGTTAAGATTTGTTCCTAACGGACGGATTTTTCTACATGTCCTACGAAAAATGAGTATTACTATTGGATATCTTAACTTAAGTGGTTTTATGCATATCAGCCTTGATACCTATTTATGCCAATCCGGATAAGTTCTAAAATAACACAACTTTTACAAACCTGATGAAGCTATATTCAAACAATATACTGTACATGTTTAAACCATCGTAAACACATCAAACAATGCATGTTAATGACTCTAATTTGTCTTATAAAAATTGCTTTATAAACTAACAAAATTTTAAAATGTTCACTTTCCAATGTTTTGACCCAAACAAGAAGTTGTCTTAATGATTGTTTTTCCGGAACGGACTAAATAGCGATAAGGTGTATTACAATACGTCTAATGATAACGGTTTTCATTTGAGTTTTGTTACAATTAAACAATATATAAGAAACATAATTAATTCAAGCAAAACAAAAAAATAAAAAAGGCAAGCATACAAAATTATGAGTACCTTGTCCTTAGTCCTATTGACCGTTATGGTTCAATAAAACTGCAACGTTTTGGTAAAATGTACAAAAAGTTGGCTTTACATTAAAAGAGGGTTAAAATGACGAACAGTTTAGGTATATGTTTTAGGGATCTTTGAATGAATATATGTTACTGTCTTTCACTAAATTCACTAATTGTCGAATACAATTTTAATTCGATAAGACAACTCTTACATACATTTTAATTTGCACCGAAGGGCATCCGAAAAAAATAATTTGTCTTGTATCTGTACGACTACGTCATGTACAAATCACACTGTAAAAGTTTGGGCTGGTTTGGGATGTCCCTTGTTTAAATATTTGAATTATTAAATTCCATTCATCTATGATGAGTGTATTTACAACCACTGGGTCGATGACACTGCTGGTGGAGGTTTCGTCCCCGTCGGCATCACTCGCCCAGTAGTCAGCACTTCAGTGCTGAAATGAATTATCATTGATATGATTTTATAAATTAACTGTTTACCAAACTTTTTTCGAAATGCTAAGGATTTTCTACCCAAAGATTCGATTACCTTAATTGTATTTAGCAAAATCTTTTGGAATTTTCGGTCCTCTATGCTCTTCAACTGAGTACTTTATTTTGCGTTGGACATATCAGAAAACGGAAGCGATGAGAGATCGGTTTTTAATTAGATTGGACATGAACATGAGTTTATGGTATACGTTTTATGATACGTATTCAATTTGACCAAATCTTTCAGTCATCTTTAAGCATCTATATTTTTTTCTATGATGAAACTATTTAAAAGTAATCTTATCTTCAGAAATTCTTATTTGGGTTGTGAAAACCTGAAAGGAATTTAAAAAAGGTTGTGATGTAAATGTAGTTTAGTCAGGATGAATTAACTTTTTCAAAATGGCTTTATTGTGAAATGAATTCAATGGAAATAGTGTCTATGAATCTCTAGATGTCATTTGTATATTTGTGCCGTTTGTTTGCTGAATAATCGACATATATCTCCTTTTATTAATAACAATCGTGTAACAACAAACAAACAAAAAACTTCATTTTCAAGAAGAGCGATTGAGTTGTTGTCCCGCTTACATAAAACTAAAATTACCATTTTTGCCATTTCTACGTTATATATGAAACCTGCCCATGTAACAATTTTTAAAATTAGATTGTCAATAAACCAGTTATGATTTGAATTTAAAGTTACTGGTTATCTATTCTTTTTAATGTGTACATTGTTAAAGTACTAGTATATTGTAAAACTACACAGACCTTTTATCATTACTGTTGAATTTTGAAACTGTTCCATTACTGGACTACAACTAGTTTCCAATCTACACAGCCTCGATCCTTATTCGTAGTTTAAGGAACAACATCTTTGGTCACTGGTACACAAGGTTGCACAAGCTAAAGCTGACCTTACTGATACAGTAGTCATGCTACCAGAAAGTAGTCGTTTATCATTCAATACGTCAAAATTCCTTTGGTTGATTTGTTGTAGAGCGACAGAAAATGAAACTGAACTTTTTAAAAAGAAAAATGCGCAGCAAAAAAGAAACATTTTAAATTTTCTCAATGATCACAATTAGTGTTTGTCAAACTGCTACATATCCAATGAAATTTTTCCGATAAAGTGTGTGGTTCAAGTTTTTTAAAATTTTTATATTTTTGTCAAAGGGTCAAAGTAAATATTTGGTCAAAATTTTATGAAAATTAAACGAGCCAAATTGATTTTAGCCCAGGTGTTTTGTACCACCTTAATTTATAAAGCTTGGAAGTTCAGGTATTGTCCCTTATAACTCACTCTGTGACTTAAGTCTTAGATTTATTGATAAAGGTTTAAATTAATACTGTTGATGCGAAAACACTGCGTCTAATATACTTGTATTTTTGGCTACAAAAAAATAGCTAATTCAAACTGAGTTTTACTGTGCGTATTGCTATGTGTTTCTTTATTCTATATTGGCTAGAGGTATAGGGGAGGGTTGAAATCTCACAAAACATGTTTAACCCCGCCGCATTTTTGCGCCTGTCCCAAGCCAGGAGCCTCTGGCCTTTGTTAGTCTAGTATGTTTTTTAATTTTAGTTCATTTATATGTTTTGGAGCTTAGTGTGACGTCCATTTTCACTGAACTAGCACACAATTTTAGTTAGGGGCCAGCTGAGGACCACCTCCTGGTGCGGGATGTTCTCGCTGCATTGAAGACCCATTGGTGGCCTTCGGCTGTTGTCTGCTCTTTGGTCGGGTTGTTGTCTCTTTTACATATTCCCCATTTCCATTCTCAATTTTATTTGGAGCAATACTTACTTTTGAACTGTTGTACAATTTTTTTGCGATTAGAGTTAAGTCGAAGGCATACGTGTTGTAACGACACATTTAGTTTTCTTGGTGCTTGTGTTTTTGTTCTTGTCTACTGTACTGGTATTTTAAAGTTTTTAGTTGGGTACTTTTCCGTTTCGTTGTCCGATTATAATTGTATGTTCATTTGTGCGACTTGTGTTGCTCTACTGGTCTGAATTTTGAAGGAAAGAACTTTTTTTAAAGAAGATGTTCCGGTTACAATCTAAACATCAGGCGAAGAAAAGCCCAAATCTCCCTGTCCGAAAGAAAAACAGTGAAAAGACAAATAGTCAATAAACACCCCATATAACCCCGATACAAATGAATCCGGACGTTGACGCGTTCGAAGGGATAATCAGGACAACATTTGGGATGACAACAATTTTGAATGCCTCTCTAGAACTTATTTGAGTATATATTAATATGTCAATGTGCGTGTTAGTTTATTTATTCAATTATACAGTTGTTGCAAGTTTAATATATTGTATAGAACGTTTGATAAAATTGCTAGATGCAAAACGCACAGACATGGTGCAATTTAACACGTTTTATGAGGTAAACAATGCTGAATATCTTTTCGTACATAAACTTTTGAGTATCAATACTTTAAGCAATAATAATTAACTATACGTTGAATTACTACGTGACTTCAAATGTTCCCTAGAACTCAGAATATCATATATCATACTTATTAACTTTTCTCTTACTGTACCGTTCGTTCCACCAAATGTGTCGAGTTCGTTGCTCGTTTTTAAATAATCACTGTACAGTTCGTTGACAAAAACCGTCAAAAATACATTTCTTTTTAAGGTATTCGAGATGGCATCGGCGACATTTTTTCTGTATTTTCTTGTAAATTTTTATCTGTAAACTTAGTCGAAGACCATAAAATATCAGTCATCCAAAGCCAAAATTGCAATGTTTTAACCAGCGTACATCTGACAGAATTTTTTCTATTGAAAATTAGGACTTTCAACGTTATTCCAGATGAAATAAACTGTTAATAAATATATTCCGGATGCAATAAAGTTTAAAAAAAAATATAGTATGTAGTAGTACAGCCAATAAAACTTCAATGACTCTTACTTTTCACAGTTTAAGGCTCTTCAAAATGTCGATCTTGGTCCAAGTTCGCCTAAACAAAAGCAGCAATAGGAGCTCGCTGAACTTTGTTTGCCGAATGCATTAGATGGCATTCCAATTGGGATTTTTTTTTTTTTTTTTTTTTTACATATAAAACTTGGTAGATTTTGTATGATGGCTAATGATACAACTATCCACCAAAGTTAAAATGAAGTGGTTGTAAGCAATTATTATAGTCCAACGTACGGCATTCAACCCCAAAGAAAACCTAATATACCGTATAGTCGGCTATAAATGGCCCCGATATAAAAAAAAAATGTGAAAAATTTAAAACGAGAAAACTAATGGCCTAACTTATAACTAATGAATTATTTATTAACGAAATACAAATATGACAGATCTATATAACCAATGTACTACAGACTCCTGACGTTGGACAGGCACATAAAGAATGCGGCGGGATTATACATTTGACTCCTCAACCGTCTATCTAACCTTGGACACTGTTATAACTGCACAACATGATAAAAAACCCAGTACAGTTGCAATTGGCTCAACTCAAAATATCGGTAAAAGGCACAAAACCGATACACATAAAGTACCGAAATAAAAGTAATTGTAGTAACTGATAGTTATTTCAAAGCCAATTACAACTAAAAGGTAAATCATGTTATTCAAGACTAAAGTATCAGTCAGTATATATCCAACGGATTTGGAGTAAAGACGTAATAAAAACGCATGAACTTGTTCAATGGCAAATATAAGTAAGCAGTATCGAGATGTACGATTTCATGAGTTCTCATAAGTGTGCATATATGGTAATTATATTAAGTAATGCTTTGACTTTTCAAAAACAAAATTCAATGGCTATTTAAACAACATCAACGTAAAAATTAGGATATGATATCTCGATTTAAATAATAACTTGACAGGTACAGCAGAAATTTTCTAGCCAAATATTTTTTAATCTATGAAAGAATTTGGTAAAGTCTATTCTCATCTTGAATTTTACACCACTGTATTAGTTGATGGACTTGCAAACATGTTTAAACTAACCCCAAAGGGTGACTGGGGAATATAAATATGGTCACTTTGGTCTTTTTTCGACCGGCAGTAAAACCCTCGCCGAAGTGGGGCACCCGTTTAGCTGTGTGGGATGTGCAAGTACGCAGCCACGTCCAGTCAGAATGGGATTATTAGATCCAATGCCTTTAGTAGACAGAGCACCAAGCACTTTACGAACCCTTGCAAAACTCTATGAGGGGTCCATAAATTGGCCTATTGCAAGGCAATTCTTTTTTCCTTATCCAATATACCTCAATTTATCCAGTGGCAGTTCAAAATTCCCCGACGTAATTCCGGACTGCCTCCTTCCATGAAATACCTGTAGTATGTGTTGGATATGCATATGAGATTCAGGCCAAGAGCCTATAATCCGTTGATTGTTATGATTGCTGTCTGGATCAAAACAAAGATGTGGTATGATTGGCAATGAGACAACTCTTCACAAGAGACCAAACGACACAGAAATGAACAACTATAGGTCACCGTATGGCCTTCAACAATGAAAAAAGAGCAAATGTAAAACAATTCAAACGAGAAAACGAATGGCCTAATTTATGTACAAAATAATGAACGAAAAACAAATATATAACCACTGAATTACACGCTCCTGACTTCGGACAGGCACATACAGAATGTGGTGGGGTTAAACATGTTTACGGGCACCCAACCCTCCCCTAACCTGGGACAGTAGTGTAACAGTTCATTGAATGTCATATGGTAAACGTTTTAAAAAATGCTATCAAATCGGAAATCGGGCGCGTGTATCCGTATACTCAGCCAGTGATATTTGCATTTGTCGAGTAATTGTTTTTCTTACCAATTTACACTTTCCTATGGATAATGATTTTTTTTTACATGTACAAAATAACTCCATTAGTGTTTCGACAATACAACGGATATTATAGGTTGCTGTATGCATGTTATGGTGGTAAATTTACTTTTTTAAACATGTATATTGGTTTAAATCATATCAAAGCATACTTTCATACATGCAAAATTCATTGACAAATACAATATTTTTGCAACGAAGCGTACAGTATAAAAAAGTGTAATGACGACGAACTGTACACAACATGAAAATAAAAGACACTTTAAAAAGTATATTTTCTTGTTTCTAGATACCACATAAACCTACGATCCTTAAAAGTTTGTTAATTTTAAACAAAGACGGGTATTTCATAACGATCAACCCCATTATGACGGTAAAAACTTTGAAAAATTTATTAGATATCTTCTTAATTCTATAAGATATACTTTATAAAAAATATAAGATATCTTATGAATATTTTTTTATATACGATATCTAATAAAGTTTATAAGATATCTTATATAGTTTATAAGATATCTCATATAGTTTATAAGATATCTATATATTTTATAAGATATCTTATAAAGAAAATTATATAAGATATCTTATAAATTATATGAGATATCTTAGAAACTAAATAAGATATCTCATAAACTACATAAAATATCGTCTAAACTTTATAAGATATCGTATTAAGTATATAAGATAGTATACAAGATATCTTATAAACTATATGAGATATCTTATATAATATATAAGATATCTTACATAATCTTGTTTTTATAAGATATCTAATATACTTTATAAGATATCTTCTAAAGTTTATAAGATATCTTATAAAGTATATACGATATCTTATAACATTTTTTTATATAAGATATCTTATATACCTTATAAGATATCTTATATACCTTATAAGATATCTCATATATTTTATAAGATATCTCATATAATTTATCCGATATCTTGTACAGAAAATTATATGAGATATCTTCTCAACTATATAAGATACCTTCTAAACTATATAAGATATCTTATAAGCTATATGAGATATCTTAATAATATAAAGTTTATTAGATATCTTGAAGTTCGAATAAATAGTAAAACGGCTTGCCATATATATCTTCACATTAAGTGACCATATCTTGAACTCATTGTTCAATGATTGTTTTCACATTAAAAAGAGAAGTTTCATCTACAAT